GCGACTATCAAACAAACAACGCTTTGCTTTTTAGCTGAAAATAGAAATTACATTCTGACCAATCTTTTAATTACTAATTGTACATTATTATATAAAAAATTAAACTAAATTGCTTCCTCTTTCCTCTATGAATAAGGTGTAACTATCCCTTGCATAAATGTTTTCGTTTCGTCACCCATACACGTGTGTTACATGCATATAGACAAAAATGTTTCTCTTTCCCAAGAATCCATTTGTTTATATTGGACAATGAAAGTGTAAATGAAAATGTGCGGGACCAAAGAACGAATGAACCGAAGGGATAGAAAGAAGATTCCTTTTACGCTCTGGTAATAAATATTTAAATGAACATTTTTTTGTCTTTTTCATTTTTTTGCGCGAGATTTGTTTTGCATCCTTATTGGTCTAGGAAGTGCATGTGATCAAAGAACCGAACACAGATTTTTACCTTCACATGGCATAGTGATAAAAAATTTTATTAGTGGCTTCGTCATACTTATATTGTGAGATCGTTGCTTTTGAATTATCTAAGGATTTCTTTGTTTCTTACATTGAAAGTGAATTGAATGAATAAAAATAATGTTAACGTTTAACGTTAATTTTAAGAAAGATTAAAATTTAAGATTATATATAAAAATTGCCTCACTTATTTTTATTAGCGCTCAAGCTTTGATTTGACATCTGATTCCTGCATTTTTTCGCATTTTCTTTTTTCTTTGTCTTCTTATCCGGCATGTGGCATACATGTATAAAACAATGAGATGCAAAAAATCCAGCACTGAGAATATTATTGTAATGCAGAACTGAGTTGTTAATTGATAGAAATGACTCAAAATAAAGTCGAAAATAAAATACAAAATAAACCTTCGTTTTATTATAGAACTATTATAGATGCAAAACCAATATAGAATTCAAAGATTATTCACAGCAAATATATTCGAGACTCTAATAGCGTTAACAAAATAAGTGATATATAAGTCAATATTCATCTTCCAACACAGTCGTAACTTGATACAAACACTTTTTCCTGTTCGAATTACTGTTATTTTGAAGCGGAGGAAAATTTTGACCTTCATCCTCTTTAAAGCCACGCTTTTTTTGGCCCCAAGGGAATGATTATGTGGAGGTCAGGTGTCCATCTCATTGTTCATTATCGTTATGCACAATAATAAATTGTGTGAATTGATAAACGATGCTTTTACTATTCTTTGCTAAGGAAGTCTATCTATATAAGTAAAACTTTTAATGCATGTCATCGGACTTTATCGTTATAGGCCGAATTGGTTTTTTTGCATTATCAAAGTGATGAATTAATAGCATACAGTAACATATTCGGTGAGGTAAAAGCATGCACACGCCTGTCTTTGCCCCCAGAAAACGCTATGTTTTTACTTGAAATTTTTGTATCTATATCCAGGCCGGTTGTCTTAATATTTTTTTGCAGGAAAACGAAGCTAGCGACACGTTAATCGCTTTTTCTAGTAATCTAGTAGTACTATGAGTATGGAAGAAATAAATTATTGCTTGTTAGTTTTCTAAAAATGGGGGGTACGTATATTTATCTAAACAATGAAGGGGGTGGTGTTCTAGTTATCATTATCATTATCATTATTACTATTATTATTATTATTATTATTATTATTATTATTATTATTATTATTATTATTATTATTATTAACATTGCATATGCATAGTGATTATCTTTTATACGCCGAAAGCTTTTATTGGAGTGCACACATGATAATGAATAATGCTCATGTCACAACTTGAAACTAAATTAATGACATGATCATAAAACATTGATTTTTTATTGACATATGTAGGTTTTGAATCGTTTGTGTTTTTAGGCATATAGGAGAAATTTTCCAGCTGGACATTACGAATAAAATTTACAAATTAAAAAAAAATTTTTACAAAGATGTACAATTAAAAAAAAATTAAAAAACGAAGAAGAGTGATTTTTTACGACTGAAGAAAGGTATCTTTGTTAAATAAAATTGAAAAAACGAATTACGAGTTTCCCGAGTTGGTTAAATTTTAAAGTTAAATGGACGAAAATCTATAAGGAGCAGGGTAGGTCAAACATAGTGCACAGTTTGATTCTGAGGATTGGATAGGGGATTTGCTTTTCGTTCGAAGAAGCCTTAGTAACACACGGCCCACAAAATTTAGTTTTTTTGCACCAACTGCACTGAGCCCAAACAGTATCGCAAAAATTATATTGAACCTTACAAGATGCGCACCTTAATGTGCAATCCTTGCAATTTTTATCCTCACATTCCGTGAGATCGAAAATGGATTGCTTGTTACTTCGAGCTTTATTTATTATGTCTAGATTCAGATTAATTTTTTTTATCGCTAAGGCATTTCTAGCTCCGACAATGCAGCGAGAGAAAAGAAAGCTCTTAAACATGGTCATGGCCGGGGCGTTACCAGATTTGTCTTGCTGCCATTCAACCAAAGTGCTCATTAATACTGGAATTGAAAAGTTTTCGCATCCGACGATTGAGACCGATTGAATTAGCTCGCTTTTTCTCAATATCTCCAGGATTGAATTGACATCGATGCTCGACCCGTTTACTGAAACCCTTCTCACATATCGAAGATTATGTGATGAGCAGCTATGCTTGATAAACTTCTCAAGCTGAGAGCTGGTCATGTTGTATGGAATCGAAAGCTCGGAGAATACAATTGAATTTGGCAACCTATGGTAAAAATCTCGACAAGTGCCGCGAAGAGCTACAGTCGAAGAAAGATCCGAATATTTTTCAACGATGATGTATAAAATATCGTCAGGCAGCTGAGAGATTGTCTTACGTTTGACGGAGGGTGAAAACATTTCTTGAGGAGTGAAAATTTTATTGTGTTTTTTGAGTGAGAAGAGGGAGAAAAAGAATGATAGTGTAATATTCGATTGTATAATTTTCATCCGAGATTGATTCAAGTGTGTATGAAAAAGGAACCAGACAAATCGACGAGTTTATATGTGTTTTTAAATATTTGTGTATAATGACAATAATCTACTGTTTGTTTGTTATTATAGTAAAGACTAACCCGATCTTGTCAATGTGTGAAGAACAAAGGATATTTGGTCTATTTTCCCAAAAGCGAAAATAATCAGGGTTGAATCTGATAAACGGAATCGCTATGCAGTCTGCAGTTCACCCCTTTCTTTTACTTGCATGCGAAGGCGAAAAAAAGTGTAACGATCCGAGTTTTTTCATCGAGTTTGAGGCAAAAAGTTAATTACGATAATGCAATGAAAAAAAAAACTATAATTATCGAATTACTTAACGTTTTGTATAAAAATTAATTATTATTATTATTTTTTTTTTGCTTGTATACGAGATAGCATAAAATTCAAATGATATTGGCGACTATCAAACAAACAACGCTTTGCTTTTTAGCTGAAAATAGAAATTACATTCTGACCAATCTTTTAATTACTAAATGCATTACTATTTCAAAAGAAAAAATTTGTGTATCGATTTCAAAATATATTATCAATAAAAAAAATAAATTCAAAATTACTAATTATTTTAAATTAAAAACTAATAAAGATTAATTTTGTATTAATATTATTATTCATATTAACTTTTAAACTTAATTATATATTTGAATTTTATTATAATAAATTATTTTTATATTATATTATAAAAATATGAAAATAAGTTACTCTTTTTTATATAATCTTTAGAGATTAAAGAGAAAAGATAATTTATTTTTGAAATCAAATTTATTAAGTTTATAGAAATAAAATGTAAGAAATAACTTATTTTTGAAAGTAACTTATTTTCAAATTTATAATTACTGTAAAGTCCTGAAAATAAATAATACATTAAAAAAATGAACTTTTAACTTCTTTATATGTTTTATATGTAATAATTCGTGACAATTACGCATTTTCCATTCTTAACTCGGGTAGGTCCAATAAAGACGAAGTGATTGCAGAAACAAAACGGAAAAAAGAGGTGGCAGCTCAACGCGCGTGAGATTAGCCTAGTTCGAAAAAAGAACGAGTAGAAAACAATAAGAAAAAGTTCGTCAAAAGAAATAAAAAAATTATTTTCTAAATTCGTCACAATACACTCTTTGCTTTCAAAATTTCCGATTTTTGTATCGTGCGTAAAAGCGATGATCTTTATATCCTTATTTTTATATTAGGATGGTTCCTGGTCACATGACACCTAAACCAATAAGAATCCGCAAATTATATATGAGCCACCAACTATTAAAAGGTGATAGAGCTAAAGTTAGAGCTGAAATAAAGACCAGAAGTAAAATAGTCTCACCGACATTTTTTAATAGTGCGCAAAGCTAGATTTTGATGCCTGTTTCCGTATTTTTCGCATTTTTTGTCTTTTTCATTTTTTTGCGCGAGATTTGTTTTGCATCCTTATTGGTCTAGGAAGTGCATGTGATCAAAGAACCGAACACAGATTTTTACCTTCACATGGCATAGTGATAAAAAATTTTATTAGTGGCTTCGTCATACTTATATTGTGAGATCGTTGCTTTTGAATTATCTAAGGATTTCTTTGTTTCTTACATTGAAAGTGAATTGAATGAATAAAAATAATGTTAACGTTTAACGTTAATTTTAAGAAAGATTAAAATTTAAGATTATATATAAAAATTGCCTCACTTATTTTTATTAGCGCTCAAGCTTTGATTTGACATCTGATTCCTGCATTTTTTCGCATTTTCTTTTTTCTTTGTCTTCTTATCCGGCATGTGGCATACATGTATAAAACAATGAGATGCAAAAAATCCAGCACTGAGAATATTATTGTAATGCAGAACTGAGTTGTTAATTGATAGAAATGACTCAAAATAAAGTCGAAAATAAAATACAAAATAAACCTTCGTTTTATTATAGAACTATTATAGATGCAAAACCAATATAGAATTCAAAGATTATTCACAGCAAATATATTCGAGACTCTAATAGCGTTAACAAAATAAGTGATATATAAGTCAATATTCATCTTCCAACACAGTCGTAACTTGATACAAACACTTTTTCCTGTTCGAATTACTGTTATTTTGAAGCGGAGGAAAATTTTGACCTTCATCCTCTTTAAAGCCACGCTTTTTTTGGCCCCAAGGGAATGATTATGTGGAGGTCAGGTGTCCATCTCATTGTTCATTATCGTTATGCACAATAATAAATTGTGTGAATTGATAAACGATGCTTTTACTATTCTTTGCTAAGGAAGTCTATCTATATAAGTAAAACTTTTAATGCATGTCATCGGACTTTATCGTTATAGGCCGAATTGGTTTTTTTGCATTATCAAAGTGATGAATTAATAGCATACAGTAACATATTCGGTGAGGTAAAAGCATGCACACGCCTGTCTTTGCCCCCAGAAAACGCTATGTTTTTACTTGAAATTTTTGTATCTATATCCAGGCCGGTTGTCTTAATATTTTTTTGCAGGAAAACGAAGCTAGCGACACGTTAATCGCTTTTTCTAGTAATCTAGTAGTACTATGAGTATGGAAGAAATAAATTATTGCTTGTTAGTTTTCTAAAAATGGGGGGTACGTATATTTATCTAAACAATGAAGGGGGTGGTGTTCTAGTTATCATTATCATTATCATTATTACTATTATTATTATTATTATTATTATTATTATTATTATTATTATTATTATTATTATTATTATTAACATTGCATATGCATAGTGATTATCTTTTATACGCCGAAAGCTTTTATTGGAGTGCACACATGATAATGAATAATGCTCATGTCACAACTTGAAACTAAATTAATGACATGATCATAAAACATTGATTTTTTATTGACATATGTAGGTTTTGAATCGTTTGTGTTTTTAGGCATATAGGAGAAATTTTCCAGCTGGACATTACGAATAAAATTTACAAATTAAAAAAAAATTTTTACAAAGATGTACAATTAAAAAAAAATTAAAAAACGAAGAAGAGTGATTTTTTACGACTGAAGAAAGGTATCTTTGTTAAATAAAATTGAAAAAACGAATTACGAGTTTCCCGAGTTGGTTAAATTTTAAAGTTAAATGGACGAAAATCTATAAGGAGCAGGGTAGGTCAAACATAGTGCACAGTTTGATTCTGAGGATTGGATAGGGGATTTGCTTTTCGTTCGAAGAAGCCTTAGTAACACACGGCCCACAAAATTTAGTTTTTTTGCACCAACTGCACTGAGCCCAAACAGTATCGCAAAAATTATATTGAACCTTACAAGATGCGCACCTTAATGTGCAATCCTTGCAATTTTTATCCTCACATTCCGTGAGATCGAAAATGGATTGCTTGTTACTTCGAGCTTTATTTATTATGTCTAGATTCAGATTAATTTTTTTTATCGCTAAGGCATTTCTAGCTCCGACAATGCAGCGAGAGAAAAGAAAGCTCTTAAACATGGTCATGGCCGGGGCGTTACCAGATTTGTCTTGCTGCCATTCAACCAAAGTGCTCATTAATACTGGAATTGAAAAGTTTTCGCATCCGACGATTGAGACCGATTGAATTAGCTCGCTTTTTCTCAATATCTCCAGGATTGAATTGACATCGATGCTCGACCCGTTTACTGAAACCCTTCTCACATATCGAAGATTATGTGATGAGCAGCTATGCTTGATAAACTTCTCAAGCTGAGAGCTGGTCATGTTGTATGGAATCGAAAGCTCGGAGAATACAATTGAATTTGGCAACCTATGGTAAAAATCTCGACAAGTGCCGCGAAGAGCTACAGTCGAAGAAAGATCCGAATATTTTTCAACGATGATGTATAAAATATCGTCAGGCAGCTGAGAGATTGTCTTACGTTTGACGGAGGGTGAAAACATTTCTTGAGGAGTGAAAATTTTATTGTGTTTTTTGAGTGAGAAGAGGGAGAAAAAGAATGATAGTGTAATATTCGATTGTATAATTTTCATCCGAGATTGATTCAAGTGTGTATGAAAAAGGAACCAGACAAATCGACGAGTTTATATGTGTTTTTAAATATTTGTGTATAATGACAATAATCTACTGTTTGTTTGTTATTATAGTAAAGACTAACCCGATCTTGTCAATGTGTGAAGAACAAAGGATATTTGGTCTATTTTCCCAAAAGCGAAAATAATCAGGGTTGAATCTGATAAACGGAATCGCTATGCAGTCTGCAGTTCACCCCTTTCTTTTACTTGCATGCGAAGGCGAAAAAAAGTGTAACGATCCGAGTTTTTTCATCGAGTTTGAGGCAAAAAGTTAATTACGATAATGCAATGAAAAAAAAAACTATAATTATCGAATTACTTAACGTTTTGTATAAAAATTAATTATTATTATTATTTTTTTTTTGCTTGTATACGAGATAGCATAAAATTCAAATGATATTGGCGACTATCAAACAAACAACGCTTTGCTTTTTAGCTGAAAATAGAAATTACATTCTGACCAATCTTTTAATTACTAATTGTACATTATTATATAAAAAATTAAACTAAATTGCTTCCTCTTTCCTCTATGAATAAGGTGTAACTATCCCTTGCATAAATGTTTTCGTTTCGTCACCCATACACGTGTGTTACATGCATATAGACAAAAATGTTTCTCTTTCCCAAGAATCCATTTGTTTATATTGGACAATGAAAGTGTAAATGAAAATGTGCGGGACCAAAGAACGAATGAACCGAAGGGATAGAAAGAAGATTCCTTTTACGCTCTGGTAATAAATATTTAAATGAACATTTCTTTTGGTAGGATGGAAAATAGCAGTGGTGCATTGATACAAATATTTTCTTTTTAAGGAAAAATGGATTCGCGCGTCCATGACACAAATATATTTTATGCACGTATGTGCGCTAACCATTGTTATTATTACAGATTTATTTGATTTTTCTTGGTTAGCGTTCGCTTTTTATGTTATGGATTTTTTTCATATCTGATATTAAGTTTTGTACATGTGTTCAATTATTTTTTTTCCATTAAGAGATGCTCCATTATTAAGAGATGCTCCATTATATTAAGAGATATTCCATTATCTGATAAGTTTCGGCCTGCATACGTACATGTATGAGATATGATTAACAACTCGATAACTCTTAACCTACGTATTGTTCATAATAAAGTGAACTGATTGATTTTAGCTTATCTAAATGCAAACTGTTTGTAGGAATACAAAATCTTGTATGCATACTCAGATCTATAGGATGAGCTCTCTTCGCTGAAAATCTTAATGACATACTGCTTGCATTTGATCAATGATCTATGCTTGACTGCTCAACATTCACTTTTATCATAAGGCGTACTCCTCAAAGTGGAAACCGTTACCAGGAGTCAACAAGGAGTGCATAAAAATAGTACTTGTACACGTGCTCCCTTTCTTTTTTTTTTTAAAAAGATGATTGTTTGATTAGACTCCTTAAAAGACATTTTCAAATCGTCCACGGATAAAAATTCTCGTTGGTTCTTATTTTGTCGAGATCCGTTGTAATACATAATATTTAAGAGAAGGGAAAACTAAAGTTGACAAAATAACACAGAAATAGAAATCGAATTCTTGAAAAAATTTGTTCTGTTGTGTAAATGCGTTTTATCGAGATTTCTTGCAGATTCAGCTGAAAGTAACTTAGTATGGCTGAATCGAGATCTATTCTCTTTATGATCATATTAATACCATACTGATGCTTCGCATTGTTCCATTGTGTGATAATTGTTTTTCAATCTTCATTATACCGCATCTTATCTCTTTCCGAATGCCATATTCGATTCGATTTTTATTATAACGAATCTTATCTCTTTACTAGAGCCATTTCGGATTGCATTATCATGGTAACAACATCAAATTAAAACGTTTGATAATAGGTGTACTGTAGAATTTACTTTAATAGAAATGACAAATAAATGTTGTACATCAGTAAATTTTTTTTTTAAATCTCGTGATATGATAGGGAATGTGACTTGTAAATTTAGATAATGATAATCTATTTTTATTTATTTCTTAATTTCTGAACAATAAGAAATTAAAATGCTATTAATCGAACCAATTTTTTTTTTAATTTCAATATTGATAATAAGATCATGCAATGTAATGTAATTCGAACTTTGAATTGCAAATGTTTTTAAGTAAAGGTCTTTGTGCTAATTATGCATTAAATTTAATTATTCCATTTATATTCCTCAAATAATTTATAAAAAAATATACACGTAAATCCATTTCGAGTCAAATGAATAACGATTCATATATTAGTATCGGCATGTATTAAATCTATTTCGAGTCGAATAAAAAGCGATAATTTTGTTAGCATCGGTATGTATAATGACTTTTTGAGAATTTATTCAAAATCATTATCTGATTACATGTAATAGGAGTGCATCGTGCATAACTCCTTAGCTGACCCAATGGCGCATGCATACCATCATATTTTTCGTTAGGTCATCACGCATATTTTAGAATCATAACAATCTTAAAAACGTGCCGTGCGTGCCAATTTGTTTGCCGATAATTAGGTAATCGTTTACTTTGTCATTTTCCCTCCCTTTCTATTACATGTATAGGATTTTTGGTATTTCATATTGCGGTATTGGACAACGTTGTGTATCAATCGAATTCTCTTTTATCAAAATAATTCAACATGATCTATTTTCATTTTCTTGGAAAATTTTTACGGAATATAACAGTAGACACATGTACACACGAGCGTATATATAGGTTTACCCCATTTTTACCAAGAATGGTATACGCGGGGTAAAATATACTTTTCTGTTAGATCGAATTACTGTGGTCAATGCACATAAAAGACGAATCTTCAGATATTAATCTATCGCGATATTTTTTAATGTATCGGGATATTTTGGCGCCAATATGCGTTTTGACAAGCATTCCCATAAAAGTAGACCCTAAAATACATGTATTCAGAAGTTACTTCTTTAAAACAATCGCTGGGATAGAACGATAACATCGTAGTCATTACATGCATAATCATCACAGACAACACACCAAACTAGACTTCCCGTTAGTCATTCGTTAAGACGAAAATTCTCCTAATAATAAGCAGGAAACGCACTAAACCAAAAATTTATATGGTTTATATGTATATTCGGCTTATCATGAACTTAAAATGTAGAATTGATAACGATAAGCCGAATATTTGGGGTTATTTAAACAGGCTTATAAATTATCCGGTTCTAAAATTCATGGTTGGTGGTTGTTACACGTTGGCAAACAATCGAAACTGCTCAATTTAATTAAAGTTGGTCGCCTAAATTATCTAGCATAGTTTTCAGCTATAAACCATATTACATGATTTCGGCGAGTTTGCTGATTTTATGTTTCATCTCGGATAAATACTTATCGTTACGTTGACTATATGATATAATATTATAGTCGAACTAACCTCATATTACTTACTAGTTGAATCCAAGTTATAGCCCTAATTATGAGAATGTTTTAACAATTATGAGACTTTCATAAGAATCTCAATATGATATCAACTAGTGTAAAAGAACGGGATTTTTGATTTGCAAAGTCGAGAAAGAAAATACATTGATACTTGTTCTTATATAAATGTTATTAAATAATTGAATTGGGCAATAGAAATTGGTTAAAACGATGATAAAGAATATGTAAATAATTCACTAGGAAGAGTCTCTTTGCAAATTATTTTCTGGTAAACAATGATTTACTCACCGATTTTATAGTGGTTTCTTATCCCAAGTATCTAGAACCAACTTGTTTTTCTAGCATATGATATCCCAATATATGATGCTCTGATATCATCTATACAATAAAATTATTTTAATGTTCATCAAATGACAAAAACATGAAAGAATGGTGAGGCTTAAAAAGAAAGAATGGTGAGGCTTAAAAATATTGTAATAATCATGGGTGGTGACCCAGTTCTGTAATATATTTGTTAAAAGCCAAGTATCAAAGCACGTTTTCATATAAGGCAGCAAAAAAGTGTAGAAGACATGCACTTACTCAATCTTTTTCTGCCTATATCTTTGTAATCATACTCAACCCTCCCCCGCAGATCATCTCCATATGCTCATATTTGTGCAATTTACCACTACCATCCGAACCATCGTCTTCAGTACCAACGAAAACCAATATGGTCTTTCCACATTCGGCCAGCATCCACTCAAGGGATTTCTTCTCCGATCGAAAAGTAGCATAAAAAACCGTCTCTATTTATATATATCTAACAGAATTTGGGTATGCTTGATTCTTTCCTTCATTTGATGTCTGTCAGTGATTCGAGTGAGAAATTCAAGTGCCTCCAGGTTCTCCGAAATCATCGAAATACGTTCGTGGTGCTGGTAGATTTAACTTTGATATTGTATACACAGTATCTTGAGTGAATATTCGATATTGCTTAGTATGTGTCTGCTCATTTTTTTCGTATCGACAAACAAGGAAGAGAAACAAAGAGATGATTCGTAAAAGCTACATTCAACATTTACAGATCATATATATATAACTTTTTAAATACATGTATTTTGACTTGAAGTTTTCACATATTTTGTCTTGAAATTTTCACATGGTTACACCAGTCTTTAACTCAACGTCAAAATCTATCTTTCGACCAACATCAATGTGGAAGAAAATTCAAAAAGATATTTATATCGAAAAACTCACATATTGACAATGATGAACTTTGATAAGTGCGCTGAAATATTATCCATGTCTAAATTCCACACTCAAAGCGTTGCTTGCTGATTTCAAAGACTTGGGTTTCCGAGTTTATTTATGCTCAAATAACATGAAAATCTGTGTCGAATTGTTCATGCAATTGGATCTTTTGACAAATTCTGTCATAGCCAATAATCAACATCATCTTGGATATTACAACTTTACCCAGGTGTGTGAAAGATTAAAGTGAAATATCTCTATCTTATCTTCTGATCTCTATCATAATGTCCTCGATTGTATGTACAAACTTCGTCATTCTCCCTTCTATCATGATAATGCTATGTGAAATCCCCTTTAATATGTAATCCAAAATGTATATACAGCCGGTACTGTCTAATTGCATAGCATCGGTGCGGCCAAAAAAATTATAATTTTATGCATTTAGACAGTCTAAACCAATCAAACGCTTCAAATCTTAATTCATAAATGCATACTACTACTACTACTACTACTACTACTATGCAATTATACAGTATGCAATTAGACAGTACCGACTGTATATCAGATAGGTTAAAGAACTTCAATAAAGGAGAAATATTTTGCGTACAAACCTTCTCCCAGAAGATAACTTGTTAAAATCCGTGATAATAGTGCTAGAATATCCCCTAATTCCCACGCTCAAAATCATCTTACCTAATTCCGAAATCTTTATAATTCTCACGACCCATTGAAATCTCGAAATATCCTCTTTCGTTAACGCACGTATCAAACGATATCTGTAGATATCAATTGACTTTAACCACGTAATAACAGTCTAATTTCTCTCTCCCAACCACTCACAATCTAAAATCCGTAAATCTACGTAAAAAAGCAAATCGGTAACAACAGCCATTTCCTGGACTTGATAATATTGTTTAACTTCATAAACTAATGAAATTCGTAATTATTGACCGGATAAAGACCAACTCAGCTTCTTTGATGTTTAATCACTTACATGTCTTCCCTTATAAAACGTAGAATGGTATTTTTATCTTACATAAGCATCGAAGGTTTAAATTATAGCATTTAATTCGTAAATTTAATCCAGATCTTCCTTCTCATCAATCTTCTCGTCAATCCTTTGGATTCCCTTTTAATTTGCTTCTCCCAATGTCTTGACGATGAGCTGTTGCTAAAAGTTTCTCTGCCAATTCGCGAAGGAATTCTTCATTGATAGCATAGGGATTAGAGAGCAAATCGAACAGAGTTTGTTTCAGATCATAAATCGTTGTAAGGAGAATGGAGATTTGGGAGTTTCTTGTATTTTGTGAGAAAACAAAATTTAAAAGAAAAAAGATTGTAACTTATTAACTATTTTATTTGAATAATTATTAATAACATAAAAATTAAAAATTAGCATTCCATTTCTTTTGCAAATTACTATAAATAAAAATAACTTAAAATATAATAAATATTGATAACAAAAAAATTAATAGTAGTAATGGTAATAAAAATAATAATCTTTTTTAATTAAAAGCAAAAACAAAACTATGACATTCTAATTGAAGATCATTTCATTATCAAATCAGAAAATAACTAATTAAAATAAATATTCAAGAAAAAAGAAAACTTTTAATACAACTCATAATTTTTAATAAATTAAAATTTGTGATGGCTTAGCATAAGTATATAAAAATATAAATAGCAATTCTACTTATAAATTAATAATAAAGCATAATTAAATAATTCAGAAAATACAAATTAAATATTATTATGATATGAATTTTTATTATATTTTCTATCTTATACTTTATTAAACAATTCATCTTATATTATTAAAAATTATTTTATTATATCTTATTAATATTAATTTTAAGAAATAAATTATTTATAGAACTTTTTAGATAATAATTAAAGTAAAATATATAAATTAAACTAATTAAATTATATTAAAAAAGATAATAATAAAGCTAGTATAATAATGCTAGCTAAAATAGTTAAATTAATATAATCTGTATTTATAAATATATTAAGACTTTATTTATTTTTAGAACTTGTAAGTTATTACAAAAAATTTATTAAAGAATTCTTAGCTATAGTCTTATTACTTATAGTACTTTTACATAAAGATAATAAATATAAATAGTCTATATAAGTATAATAAGTATTTAAAAATCTTAAATAATATCTTTTCTTAGTATTAGTCTTGTTATTATCTAATTCTAAACTATTATTCACAGTTATTACTAATATATTTGATTTTATTATTAGAATTATATTAAGTTAAATCAAGATAAGAGCAATTAATTTATAGTATTTAAATCAAAAAAATTATTACTAGTTAAATAAATTATTCAGTTCATATTAATAATTATATAGGTTATTAGACTCTAAAAACTATATCTAAAAGGATAAAAATTCATTATACTTATTAATCATATTTTTTTAAATATATCAAGATATAATATAATTTTTTAAAAGAATAAGTCTAATAATAAGAAATATTATAAGATAATAATTTTGAAATTAAATATAAATTTGATAAAAATAATATTATTATAAATATACTTTCTTATCAATTATATTTAGTAAATATTATAATAATTATTATTAATCTTATTAATAAAGAAAAGTTAATTAAGAAATATAAAGAAAATAAATATTTTACAGAATTTTAATAGTATAATATCAAGTAATAAATAAAAATTAGATATTTAAAATTAAAAAAAAGATTTATTTTATTTAAAAATATTAATTATATAGCTATTCTAGATAATAAGATATTAAAAGTCAAGATTTTATTAAATTTTATAATATATTAGTTACTAAATATATTAAAATTAACAAAATATAAACTATTATAAAAAGATTAATATATTAATATAAAAATTAATAATTACTTTTAATAAAAATCATTTAAATTTTAACTAATTTTTATAATTTTTTATATTAAATAAAAAATGATCTAAATTCACTTTTTATACTATTTTAATTATTTTATTATACTTTAATTTAATAATAAATAAAATATCACTTTACTAAAAAAACTAAAATAAAATTATTTTTTTTAAAAAAAGATATTTTAAATATTATTACTATTAATTTATATATTAAAACTTCAAACTATATAAGCAGATTATTCTATATTTGATAAATAAATATTTTAAATTTCATAAAATTAAATAAAAATATTAAAATTTAAAGTTTAGTAATTAAATTATTTATTATATAATTTTTATTAAATTTAATTAAATTTTATATAATAAATTTAAGAAATAATAATTAAAAAAAGTTATTATTAGTAAAAAATTTTTTTATAAAAGATATATAATAAAAATTTTTATCTAATATCTAATAACTTAATTAAATAAAACAGAATTAAAAAATTTTATTTTAAAAAAATAATCTATTAATATTTATTTAATATATCAAAATTTTTATAATAAATTATATTATGATATATATACTTTAAAAATATTTAATAATTTTAAACTATATAAACTCTATATTTAAATAGATAATAATAATAATAAATAAGATTTGTAAATCTATATATTTTTTATTAATAATATATTAATAAATTATTATATAATTAAAGTTTTTATTTTATTAATTAATTAAAAAAATTTAATAAAAATTTTTCTAATATACAATTTATTAATTGATTAAATTATGAATTTATAATTATATATATAATATAAAAATAATATTAATTAATATTAGATTTAAATTTATATTATAAATTTATTTTTATATATAAATATAATCAAATTTTTCATATTTAAAAAAAATAAAATTAAGTAATTAAAGAAAAATATAATTATAAAAAAATTTTTTTAATTATAATTAATTAGTCATTAAAAAACTCAAAAAAGATAAATATAAAAAAATAACTATAAGAAGATATAATTATAGAAAGATTTAATTATATAATAAAATTTTTGATTTATTATAATTATTATTAAAAATCAAAAAATATTATAAATTTTTTTTTTATTTTTTATTTTTTTAACTAAAATTAAAACTTACTAAATTAATAAAATTTACTTTATTTAATTAAATTAATCTAATATATTTTTTAAAATTTAATAATAAAATTAATATTTTTTTATTATAAAAATTATAACTTTATTAAAGAAATTATACTTATATATACTTATAAATTAGATAAATTAATATATAACTTAATAAATTTTAATAAGATTAATAAATTTTAATATATAAAAAAATAATTTCTTAAATAATTATAGTATAAATATATATATTATTTTATATTTCTTTAAAATAATTTAATAAAATTTAATTTATAATAATATTTTAAATAAATAATATATAAATAGTTTATTTCTTTAATAATCTTTTATAAATAATTTTTTATAATATAAAATTAAGCTGATAATTAAAAATATTTATGATATAATATTATATATTAATTAAATTAGAAAATTATATTCTATATATATTATATTATCTTTTTAAATTTATATTTATAATTTATATTTTTAAAATATATATTAAATATTTTTTAATTTTATTTTATTATTATTATTTATAAATATTATAATATATATAAAATTATCAGATTTTTTTATTATAAAAAAATAATTATTTTTCTTTATCTAATATATTTATTTATAAAATTAATAATATATTTTTAGTAAGTAAATTATAATTATAATTATTATTAAATATAAAAAATATAATTTTATTAGAATATATTTATTAAAAATTAGAATAATTTTTTTAATTATTTATTTAATAATATTTTTATTTATTTATTATTTATCTTAATTAATATTTAAATAAATAATAATATAAATATTAATATAAAAAAATATTAATTATCAAAAAATAAATTATTTACTTTTTTTATTTTTAAAAAAAATAATTATCTTATTTATAAAATTACTTATATATATTAAGATTTTGAAACTTATATCAGATCTGATTTTTATTTATAGATTTTAACTTTTAATAATATTATTAATATAAAAAATTAACTTATTATATATAACTAGAATAATTTTGATAATAAAATTTTAATAAAATAAATTATAAAATTATCTTTATAAATTATTATTTAAAATCTTAAATTAATAATTTATTTTAAAAATTATTATTAATATTTTACTATATTATTATATTTATAATTATTAAAATAAATATCTTTGAATAATTCTTATAATTCTAATTTAGATAATATATTTATTTCTGAGTTATTTAATAATCATAATTTTTTTTAATTTTAAAAGCAAGAATAATTTTATTTTTTAAAAATTTTATAATTACTTAATAATTTATAAATATTAAATAATATTTAATTTAAAATCTTTATAAAATAAAAGTAAATATAATAATTATATTATAATAAAAATTTATTTTTATTTATCTATTAATTAATTCATAATTAAGTAATTTATATATATCATAAATTCTTATTAATATTATAATTAAAAAATTTATTAAATAATAATTTAAAATAATCATAAATTTTAATTAAATAAAGAAATTAATTAATTATAAAAAGTTAAATATCTAAAGATTTTTTTAATAAAGTATCAAGTAATTTTAAGTTAAATTTATTATAATTATTATTATTATTATCAAGTAAAAGTTTATTATAAGAGAATTTATTACTAGAATTAATTAATTTATTAGATAAAAATTCATTTAAAAATTTATCATAAAGTTTATCTTGAAGTTCATCCTAAAATTCATACTGAAATTTATCTCAAAGTTTATTTTAAACTTATTTTGAAGCATATTCTAAAGCTTATCTTAATATTTAATTTAAAAGAATTCATCATTATTAGTCAAAAATTAATTGATAATTTTTTTTAAATTTAAATATAATTTTTTTTAATATTACTCTTTTATAAAGTCAATAAGACAAGATCTATATAAGTTAATTTTCATCCTTTTATTTCTATACATACAATTTCTTGAAAATTTTGATAAGTATTTCAAATATTTCTGATTTCAATTCTTGTAATTTTATTATAAATTTATTAGCTTGAATAGATTTATTTTTATTATTTATTTACAAAATATTAATGCATGATCTATTATTATCAGACTCAGTATTATCATAAATTTTATTCTAATATTTCTTGAAAATCTTTTTACTTTATCTGATTCATTTTTTTTGATATTGTAAAAAAAATAAAAAAATGAAATTATTAAAAAAACTTTTGATATTCTGGTTATATCATCAAACTTAGTATTATCATAAATCCTATTCTAATATTTCTTGAAAGTCTCTTTACTTTATCTGATCCATTTTTTTTTACTTTTGGCATTGTAAAAAAAATAAAAAAATGAAATTATTAAAAAAACTTTTTGATGTTCTGGTTATATTATGATATTAACCAATCGCATACATGGATTTATGTTACACATCATGTGACATATATATTCAGCAGTTATATATCATTTGATGTTTTTAGAATGAATTAATTAATAAAGTTTTTATTATAATAACTTTAACTTCGTATCTCATAAAGAGATATTATAAAATAATAATATAAAACTATTTAATAAAATATATTATTTCTTTAACAATTAATTATTTATTAGTAATTTAATTCTGATTGTCCTTAACTAAATAAAACTAGAATCAGTTTAAATTAATTATATTACTGTATAAAATTACCCCCGGTACCGTGTATGTTTTTCGGAAAAACCATACTTCCAAGCACCGACTATCTCATCACGCTCAAAATCCGTAAATTAGGCAATTTCTGCGAGTGTTGATTGGGTTTTTGACATGTTTTATTAAAACATAATATATAATAAATAGGTAATTCTATACAATAATATACAGTATTTGAAATCAAATCAAATTAATTTGAACTAGTTAAATCAGTTTCAATTTTATATATTTAAATTAAATTAAATTAAATTATTATTTAATCGAGGAATTTTCTGATAAATTGATATGCTATTAAGAACTATGATCAAAATTTTTGATCAAATGTATATGATATTAGACAAATCATGCTATATCACGTTTAAAATATTCATCTGTTGTCACACCGTGGATGTCGTTTTTTAAAAATAAATTAGTGTGAATTTATTTAGTCAACGTTATACTCCGCAAAGATAAAATCGAGCTCAGCCGCCGACATCAGATACACATCACAGCGTTAAACATAACTTTTACTGATATCTCTGGCATTGCACGGTTCATCTAATATTTAAATAGTGTCAAATATTAAATATATAAAATATAAATAATTATTCTTGTACTATGCTCGAATTTTTATGTAACTTAATAAATGATAAATAATTAAAATCAAGTTCAAAAGATTGTAGCTTGAAACGATTAAAACAAAAAAAATCGTTTCTACTATTGATCGCGACCATTGTATTTTAACAAATTATCTTGTGCCTATAAAATTAAAGAAACACAATTAGTTATCCGTTAAATGATTAAACACTATCATAAAACACCTTGCAAGATATCCATGTATCTTAAATGCCATACATGACTTTCTTAATGCAAGAGGTGTATGCATTATAACAGCGTGGGGAAGGATTCTTGCGTGGAGTTTTACGTTTCCCGTAAAAAAATCACTATTTTACCTCTTCAATGGCTGCCCTTGACAACACCGGTAACCGAGTTCCTTCATGCTGAATAATTTCGAATCGTATTGGTGGTTCCTATATAAAAGACAAGAAGATCAGGATTTTGATTTATCACTTATTAATAGTGGATTATATAGAGTGATTGTTATACATACTGTTAATGGCGGGCACAAATCTATTGGTAAATATCTACCATGCTTCTGAAAGAACGTATCTCGATTTTGAGCTTCCTCTGTAATTAGAATTGAATAATTCAATATTAGAACCATTATATGCAGCCTAACTGCTTCGAAAATCCAAAATAGATCAAAATAATTTCTACCAATATATAAATTCTCAAGTTTTGATAAATATTCCTCGGCTAGTTTTTCATGCATTTCTCTCACTTCATTTCGGCGATCGATTTCAAGTAACATATAATCGTAGGATTTTAAGAATTCTTCATACCTATAATAATTTATTAAATAGGCATTTATAAAATAATCGAATCACATTTGGATAAATACATTTAACTACATCTTATATTAATTAACTTACCATCCAATTAAATTCCAGGACTCTTCAATTAATCGTTCTACCATGCCCTTCCTTTTCTCAAAATCTGCCTTAAAAAAAAAGAGATTATTTCATGCAAATTAGTGATTAATTTGATTCAAAGTGAATCCCTAAACTCTTATAAAAAAGATTCTTACCTCAATAGCCTTTATTTCTCCCACAATATCTTCCATATTAGAGCTGAAATTCTCCAGCTCGTGAAATATTTTGGTAGCTTCTTCCAATGAGGCATCATAAATACGACTTCGTACACGAACTTCCTCGCTTTTTTAAATATCGTAATTTTGAATAATGTTAATTACTGAAAAAAAGTATTAAATGAATTATCTCTGAATAGTCAGTTACCTGGTTGATTCTATTATCATTAGTGCTTCGTTTAGTTCTTCGACAATGTTGGGTATCTCATCAGTGTCTTTAACAAGTACTATTTGTTTACAAGTTGAAAGTTAACAACAGAATAATTCTGCATATATATAGAGCTTCAGATAAAGTTCACATTAACCTGATATGTCTAATATCGAATTGGCCTCCGTATGAGATTGTGATGCCCTAGAATAGACAAGCCACACTTTTTAAGATATTAAATTCAATAGAAAAGCGTACCATAGGTTGAACACTTACTTGAGAGCACCGCTAACCTGATCATAATGTCGCATCAGGGACATAAGTGTCTCTGCCATCGTGCTTGTGGCGCGTTCTTGTATTTGACATTTAAGATCAGCGAATCCAATACCGGATTCTTCCAATGAAATAGAATTATTGTTGAGCATCAGGTTAAAGTGATCAAGTTGAATATCAATATTTTTCAGTAAATTTGTGCTATCATTGTGGAATTGCTGACATAATTGATTTATATAGATGAGTAGTTGTAATTTGGGTATGTTGTCAATATTTTCCTCCATTGTTTTTTTTTCGTTAATAAAATCATACCTGTATCGCGTTTAATTCTTCTTGGGTTCTAATCTTTAGTTCTTGAATACTCTGCTCATCCACGTAGTCAAATAGAGTAATCTTCTCCTTCTCCAAATTTTCCGGTTCTATCAAACCTTTCAATGAAACTTCAGCGGCTTGATTTTCACCATTCTCTGTTGTCATGTTCGATGCACTTTTGCAAATAGCAGGATCTACTGACTTGCGGCGTAAGATTTCTAAGGTATTTTCCATGTCATCAATTATTGTTCCCAATTCTTTTTCTTTGATCTACAAGTGCGAAATATGATTATTATAAGAAAAAATTAATGTCATGAAAGAAAGAGCAAAAGAGGATACGTGATAGATGTACATTTATACTCTTGACCAGCACTTATCTGCTAAACTTTACAGAACATAACTATAAAATAATCACCTACAGCGTGAAACTGCTTTATAAATTTATTTTGTTTTAACGCAAATTCCTTCAGTGTCTCCACATTCTATGAAATATATCACAATTAGATATTTACATGAGTGAAAATAGACAGATCAATTTGTAACATTTGGACATTCTTCTTACTTTAATTTGAACCTCTAATTCTCCCCAGAAAAAACGAAGTTTGGGATATGTTCTTTCTATATTTTCTACATCCCGTTTACAGTCCTTAACAAGAGCGTCTGCCTTCGAGCAAAGATCTTTACCACGTAAAAGAGCCTTCTGAGAGGCAGAGGTCAACTCCAAAAGTTTTTGCTCCATTTGCTTTGTTAGACTTTAAAACGGCAACTATCTTTTGTACTTTTAAGCACGTGTTGCGACAATACAGCAAATAATGTGATTCTAAAAATAGAAACCCGATCAAATATTTATTTAAATATTTATCGTTTATCAACATTTTAATGTATAGAAAGTACATGTCATGGGTAATTTTAAAAGTCTACGGGAAATTAAGACTAGTGGTGGTGCTATTTTTTTCATCATCACATCCACATTTGTATTTATCAGCAATCTGGCCGCAATCAAATTGCTCCTTCTTAAGCCGTTTATTAACTATATTGTGTATTGCACACATCCATTGCGAGGCTGCCTCGCGGGAAGAAACTTGCGGGGGATATTTTTCCAAAATTTTTTGAAATTCCGTGGCACTTTAGTTTTGTAGAGGGAGAAGATTTGATTATTTGATTGACTGTTAAAAAAATGTCTCATTTGCCATGAAAGCAAAGTTAATTTCAATTACCATTCGCCACATGGATAAAGTCTGCTGAATAAATAAACATAACTTCTCAAAGCTTCTTTTTCATTTTCCGTTGGTTTTTCAGGGAAACGTGCCATTATCGTATGTAGAAGCTATGGAAGAGATAAATAATATTAGAACGTTCATATTATATCGCTAGAAAGTCTATCCTTTTACCTTCCAGGTACTACGTCCGAGTTCAGCTCTAATAACGTCAAAATTTTAGACTAAATTAAACAAAAGTTCTACTTAAATGCTAAACTTACTTTAACGTTGAATTGTTTAAAGCCGGCATAATAACAGGCCCGCGACTTTTTCCTGAGGGGACTCGAAATTTGGACGACAAATTTCCACTATCAAATCTACTCATATCCTGCTGCTGCTGCTGCAGTTTATCTGGATTAACAGGACCTCTCGTCCTTAAATACAAGATAGAAGGGAAAATTACAAAGCAGATTATAAGTGAAAGGACGGCGATTGGTTTCATTTGTGAAAAATATTGAAAGAGAAATGCTATACTAGAAAAAAATAAGGGAAAACGAGGTTATTGTTCAAGAACAATAAAGAAGGAAGAAAAATATAAAAACGAGAGGCTTGGAATGCATTCCACTGTTGCAGACTATGAAGGTGCTATGTTAAGAAATATTTAAGGATTTACCATGTTTATTGTTTTTCTCTCAAACGTTGTGATCGCACCATGATATATTGTACCACGCTTAATCAACGTCTATCACAATTAACCTTTTTAAAGCACCGTCATCAATCATTTTCCCCCAAGTTTTGATTGGACAATGGATGGAAAATCTCAAATCAAATCACGTAATCTATGTAAATGCATTTTTAATCAATTTATCCAATCAGCGAAAAACTTGGGGGAAAAAGTTGGTGAACCTCATTTTCGTTCTACATGGAAAAGTTAAATAGACCTTCGTATTTCACATGATTTGACCTAAAGTGAATCAACAAATCATGGAATCCTCGTATTTTAAAAAAATCGCTTTTCGGAAAACTTTTCATTTTTGATAGCTCATTCTGGATGATATAAATAAAAAAAGGTTCATAGTAATAATTTAATCTGGCCAAAAGATGAAATCTTTTTCATATAATTCTACCATTGTGTCGTCATAATACGGAAAAAATTGGATGTGATGTCGAATTATTCCCGATATCTTTTTTATTCAACAAAGCATTTACTAAATGGAAGATTGATGGATAAGCATTAAGAAATACTGTAATTTAACCTAAATAAACCAATTATTTTTTTTTGCAAAATGAATAATTCGAGAGTTTAAATTAAATGACAAGGCTTTACAGGACGAGTACTCGGCGGTGTTTTTTTGTTTCAACAGAGTTGCCAATGCGAGAGCAACTTCGTAAAGCTTTATTATTGAAATTTTGATCTTTTTTCTCGTTCAAACATATGCATTTTATACAAAATATTTTGTATATAGTAGGCAAAATTACAGAAAAACAACCATATACATGTAGGAATGAATTTATATGAGAGTGTATATGTATATATGTATATATATATATATATATATGTATGTATAAACTAGTAAAAAAGATAGATACCGAGTTATAAAATTATTCAAAAAGGGGAATCGTGTGGAAATATACAAAGCAAAAATAAAAATATTTTATTTTCCTAAACTTTTTTTAATATATCATTTGATTTGATTGGCGAGAACAAATTTTTTTTGGTTGAAGGAGAAAAATTCGCATTCTCCCCCATTTTATTATTATTATAAAGGGGGTGTATTTTTTTATGCACGATAAGTAAAATATTGTCGAGTAAATGTTTGAAACGAAATGAAATGGTATATTGACAAGGTTGTGTGCGCTTCAAAAAGCACAACGATTGTTCATCATAAAGAATTGTTTTTTTTGGAAGTTAAATAATGTCGTCAATGAAAACAATAAATTAAATCATGACCGGAGGACTGCTTGCATAAATGGTGTGAGGAGATGATCCTCCTTGATAGAAGCAATATCGGTCAACAAAATCATAGTATGAAGATGAGCCGAGAACTGGTTTTGAGGCCGAAGTTGGAATTGCAATTGGTCGCGATCCTTCGACATTTCTTGTCATATTGATTTGTTTTGATGCATCGCCCGACATAGAAGTGTCAAGAGTGCAGGGCTGACCATCAACACAGTTACCAAAGATTGCATGAAAGTTGTCATTACTGTTATACGCGAGTGAATATGGAAGAACGTGATGATTAAAGTGTTGCATCGTTGATGGAGACGGAGTTGGACGGGGATTGAAAGCTAGTGCTTGTGGTTTTGTCATCGCAGCGGATAAAGATTGATTGATATCATATCTATTGGTCTTTAATACTGCATTTGGCGAGGTTTGTGATTTCGATGCGTTTGGAGAGCGAGCAAGTTCATCAGATTCTAGACTACCAGAAACCATAGTTGAGTTGGGGGACGACCAGCTTGATTTTGGTCTCGAATTTCTTGATGCACGTGGTGGAGCTTGTTTCGTCAGACGTTTAAAGTTAACTTGATAATTCGAGGCATTATTATTATCCCAAAGGTCACGATTATCAACATTATATCGAACAGCAAAATACATCGTTTGTCCATTAATTGGGTTCCTGGAATTGTCAATTAGATCAATTGAAAATACGAAAACATCAAAGTTTTGATTTTTTCGATCTTGAGCATTTTCTGAATACGAGGCCGTAACTTCCGAGACAGACGACCAGAAATCAAAGGTATATCGAATAACAACTGTTTTCTGGAATGCAATATTTTGCACTTGAACACGACCTTGAAGTTTTCGCTGATCTTTGGATAGGCAAATTGACTCCACAAACACAGGTTTTGATGAATGTGCTGTGGTAATTCTTGGGAAGTTTGGCAATGTAATGACAAGATCACCTTCATCATCATCATCATCATTCGAAAAATAATTATCATCATCGGATTCTTCCTCCTCTGAGGACGCATCACAACTAACTGCTTGAGGTTTTTCCGCTTCCAAGAAGAATCTTACATGTTCCAAGTCCGCGTCGAAATGAACGAATTTAGGGCATATCGGGGTAGTTGGCTCGGATTTCGATTTTAACGATGATTTTACGACTTCACCATTTTTCCTTCGTAGAACTGCAAGATCTGAAGTGATAATTTTCGGCGGCAGAACAGCTTGAAGATCTATGTGTAATCTTCGATATGATTCCGGTGAAGATTTAGTACGTCTTGGCGAAGTTGAGAATTGAGGAGAAGTTGAAATAATTTCTTTTACTTCTTCGAGTGCTTTCTTTCTTTGAATGTCAACAGGTTGAGATTTTGGTGGGGAAAAAGGGGACGGAGAAGTCGACGACTTTAAATTTTGTGAGTTAGCAGCGAATACATCGAGAAGAGTAGTGGTTGAGGATGGCGGTTTAGTTTTTGACGAGCCAAAAGTAATTTTTGTCAAGGGCCAAGTTGGGCTGGAGGAATTTTTATCACCGCCGTGTGAATATGATGACGCTGACAGTTTTGGGAATGGTGTTGTAGGCGTAGTAGGCGTCGAAACGGGACGTGTGTATGGCATGTTTGAATATATTATTGTTGTTGTTTTGATACGATTATACGGAATTGAATGCTAGAATAACGTGAAAGGATAAGAATTGTTAGAGAATTTTTTTCCACCGAAAAATAAAGGATTTGTGAATTTATGTTGATTATGCTTATGCTGATGGATTTTTATCGTCGCATCAATCAATAAGGGTAAAAGTGGCGTGTTTATTGAGAATCAAGATGAGCAAATGAGCCTACCTCTGGTTTTCGAGTGGTTTACCGTGTTAGCTACTCGTAAGAATGCTAGTATAATGGTGACAATGGAAGTTGGTAATTGTGTTTTATAGTTTTAAAAGTAAGAAGTATGTACAAAAAAGTTTTTTTTTTTTTAATCGGCGAAAGGGAATATTTTTATAACTTAAAGAAAAAAGGAATTTTTTTTTTGACTCGATAAAAAAGTTTGGCGTTTTATATTACTGTGGTTATTGATAGCATAAACAAAAATAAACTATTATATATATATATTATACAACAAATATATTGAATATATTGAATTTTGAAATGTTGCTATTTTTGATTGAAATAGATGATTCCCGATAAACACACCTTATTCTTGTAATATATTTAATATATTTTACAGTACTCCACAGTAAGAAAATAAAAAAAAATTAGGGGAGTTGCCGAAATCATAGAGAATATACCCTATTTATTTGTTATGCGACGGGAAGAATAATGAGAACTGGCAACTTTATTCCTGTAGGAGTGAACTTATTCTTTGATAAGCCAGGAAAAAAGAGGTATCTTTACAGCAGTAGTTCGCGTGTATGCTATGTAATTATAAACTAACAACAACAGGTAAAGTCCCTTTTTTTTTTTAAAAATTTTGATTTAACGATTAATTGCTATACACGCGATGCTATCAGAAGTCGGAGTCGGACAAGAAACTGAGATGTTTCGGCGTAACGAAAAAGATCTATTAGATACTGAATTGATGTTAGCAGGAATTTTGGTGTACAATAATTAATTATTTTTATATTATCATATGTTGTATTTAATATTTATATTTATATTGACTATTTAAAGAGGAGATTACATTGATTAGAAAAAGAGCGATGACAAAACAAAAGCTTGATGATTTCAAATTGGAATGAATGATAATAATTATTTTTCAAATTATTGTTTGCAACTGAGCCAAAAAGAAAAAAACGTTCACTTTCATTCGCTCAATTTTCCATCCAACCTCGCCTGTGCATTCCGTACTAAGAATCGTGAATCGTGAATCATATGCTTTATCATAGAAATCACATATCGATATCCGATCCCGATGTGTGCATGTACATTATAATGATAATAATAATAATAATAGTAATAATAATTTTACGTAAAAAAACCTTGAACAATTGATAATGAGGGAGACTTTCAAATGCTAACCAAATAAAAACACGGATGCGCAGGAGCACTGCAGCAAATCAAAAAATAGATTTTCAGTTATTTCTTTTTTTTGGATTTATCATCATATCAGATTTGTCGGATTAACAATTCCTTTGGTAAATATTAAATATCAGTAAATTTAGATAGAAATCGCATTGCCCTCGGGTTTTCCGGGTTATTTTTTTTATTCCTTAATCGTAGATCATTTTGTGGTGGTGGTTCTTGCTTGTTAAAATCTCAATTACTCTTCAAAATCAAACATCGAGAACGAAGGACAAGGGGGAAGTTCATTCTCTATGATCCATTAAAAAAGACATTTTAATTCTTGACATAACTTGTAGTTTAACCTAACCATTACCAGACTTTTGTGTTTTGCTGTTCTCCACGTCTGTACTTTTAAAATGTATGAGCAAAAAAACCGTTATTAGTTTATTTTGACATCAACAAACATGCAATCAATGTTCCAAGTTAATTCTATCGATAATTCCAATCTTTTTTTCTTTACTTTTTTAAATTTAGTTTTGTTTTTTCATGTTCATTTTAATTGGTCCAACCGCCGGTCACACGAATCAAGGTTTTTTTTTGTTTTTATTTGTTTGATTTCGAATTCGGTCCTCGTTTTTCATTTTACTGCCTGCTATCGCGGTGTTTGATGTTGCTTTGTTTCGTGTCTCAGCATAACTTGCTTACTTTGTTGTTGTTTTGCCAATAAATCCGGTTAAAAAACCAACAACCTCGATAACGAAATAATACATAATAATTTATAATAATGATGATGGACAGCCCGCGGAGAAACTTCTATACAGTGTTCTTTTTACTATATTTGTCACAGGGACTTGTCCCTTTGCTCGAAGACAAAAACCCATATGTAACCGATTCTTGGCTTGCGCATAACATTTTATGTTTACTATTTTCGTGAATTGTGCCATTATCAAAAAAAAAAAATAGCATTGATGAGCCCAGAAAAAATGGGAATAGATATGTTTGATACAAAGAAAAGCGAATGGGCAAAATAATGATAATGACAATCAAATCGGATAACCCTTTGTGTTGTAATTCGCCCAAAATTATGACCAATCCACCAATCATAATTATTGATGCTAAAGATGAATAAAATGTGAGCTAAACCATTTACTTCGCTTAATAAAAAAAAAAACGTGTATTTGAGGAGCTTCTGTGTATATCATTGTCGTACAAACGTCTTCTTTTCCCAAAGTCGCAGTGTGAGTGTGTGAAATTTGATGTAAAAAGGAACGTGATATTTATTGCTAACGTTTTTTTCTTCAAAAACATATGCAACAAGAAAACTATATCATTGCTTTTTTCGTCAGACAAAGGTCGCGCGTTATCTGAATTTTTTAAGTTTATGGGGAGCGGCATGAATGCGTGGGGGTTTTTGAGACGAGGAATTACAAGCATAAATGTGCTGCATCTATTAGTGAAAAAAAAGGCAAGATGGCTTGGGATCTTCGACAAAGAAAAGATAGAAGGGCTTCTTAATATGGTATGTTGGCTTTATTGTAAAACATCAATAGCATTATTCACGGCGGTGGCGGGGGAACATCATCATCATTGTCATCAACAGTAAACGAGTTCCAGTTAGAGATCAAAATAATACACCTTATCGTTAAGCGAATGGTTGTTGGTTCGGGAAATTTTTCATTTAGGTGGATCGACCATTGTCAATCCCCGTTTGATCGATAACAATGCACAACTGATTCCCCATTTTCTCTTATATGACTTTTGCTGGGAGAGAAGTAGTATCGATATGCGTGTTTGTGTATCACGAAAAATGAGTTAATTAATTCAAAATCTCCGTGTATGTACCACAAAAAGAGAACCAGGACATTTGCTCGTGATGCAAATATCCAAATTCTCGGAGATTTGACCGTTGATGCAAGGAATGCATTCATTCAATGCTTTAAGACAATGGCAAGCGTAAGCGAGCCATCACGTTGATTTTAGAATTGGGTAAGAAAGCGTCAGATTATTCGAACAATAATTGTTGTCCTAGCCGTCACTTGAACGCCATCGTCGTCATTATCATGAAGCTTTAAGCGGATACGAGAATATTTAATGGCGGAATTTTAATTTTTCCATATATATTATATGCATGAAAATTTCCACCCGGTTAAATTGATCCGTCGCCTTGGATAATTTAATCAACACATATTTACATAATTTGGATTTTCAGAAAGTAAGAACAACATTGGGAATTTTTTATTCCCCCCTTTTTTTAATACATGGTCACTTTTTTTATTCATAGTCAAACACAGATAGGGGAAAACGCGCGTGTTTGCCAAATTATCATTGGCCAACACCGAGATGAACTAATATCAATCTGGCGTGATCTTCCAGTTGATTGTTCGGACATATAGATATATAAAGATGCAACAAAAACAAGAATTTTTTCAATATTCTGCCATCAACAGGTTTATCATGAGAATTAAATTTTGTGAAGCCTATAATATTTATTGGTTTCATGTTAGCGGAAATAACTGCCCATTTTTCTCAACGACCAATCAAAAAGCATTCTTGCGCAAAATGCGAAGCTTATCATTTTTAAGATAAAGGGAGTTTCATACACAACAATGATATGAATATAAAAGATCAAATACAATAATAAACGATACAGAGATAAATAAATGTAAATGTAAATAAAACGGAAGATATGCAAAAAGTATGTGTTACGCATTGACCCACTGCTTGACAGCTATTCATCCATTCAAAAAAAAAAAAATATATCAATTGTTAAAAAGTTTCAATTGTTGAGGTGTGGTACAATCAAGATTTGATGCATGAAAGTGTGTAGTAAACAAAACGTGTTTGTGTTCTCGCAATTTTTATTTGATAACGATAAATATATTATTATTATTATTAATCGAAATTAACCAGTTTTTAGGTGAATTACTATGACCTAAAAAGGCCGAGATAAATGATGTAATGATCGCGAGTTTTAAATAAAGGTCATGCGTGACTTCTTTTTTCGGCTATCTTTTCGTTATCTTAACGCGGACTTTTAGATAAAAATTAAATAGTTTCATTAATAAAAGTGCATAGAATACTTTAAATGGGATTTTTTATAGATTGTGTTCGGTGTATGCATAATGATACATCCTAACACGAAAAGCCTCTTCGCCACAATTGCTATGAGAAAAGAAAATTAATAAAATACCCTTATTTCATCATGTGCCAAGAATTAGGTTTTCTTTAATTTACACAAATGAAAAAATTACAAAAGAAATCCTGAACTTTTTGATGATGTTCGCATCATTATCGCATCATTATGATCGAAAGGTACATCATCATAGAAAGCAAATATGTATGGTACTACCGATGCACACACACACACATACACGCATAACGACTGGGTTAAGCAAGAAAAAATATTCGCGTGCTTAAATTTCTGATGAATGTGATGGGAAAATCATGTAAAAGGAAATTTTCTTGATCTTATGCTCTAACGCGATATTTGGTTGAATGAAATCTAATAAAATACACATACACATTACATAAATATCTCTTTATACTATATGATGATCAGCAGCTCAAATCCAACGTTAAGGATTGAAAACGTTTAAAACACCATCATCATAAGGGAGA